AAATATCATATTACATCTCATGCTTCTAGGACACCATTCCCTACAAAAGCCACCTAATGCAGCTGCTTCGAAGGGAAATAGTTCGTGCAAGCCTTTGTCAGGGCATGATTGTTCGACTTCGGAGCAACTGCCAAAATATCCCAATCTCCTCCTATAAATATCCTCATTTACCAACACTTCAAAAAACATGATTCTTACCATACAATCATTCTTACACCATGAGAACAATTCATCTTGAATTCATCATCTTCCTTAGCCAAAACTCTAAGTGATTTTCCTCTAAGAGTTTAAGTCATTTGTGCTAAAGACTTAAGTTCTTCGAGTTTATGCTCTTCAGGCTCGAAGATCTTTAAGTGAGTTTCGAAACTTTGCCCATATCTTGAGTGTTCATCCTCAAAACGTCCTCAAACACTTCATTCGATCAATTCTTACTCGTCGATGAGTATCTTACGAGGTTCTTGAGCCTTTTCCAGAAAATTCAAAATCCGCCTCCGTGGCTAGCTTTTGCCTGTCCAGAGCACATTTCCAGAAAGCTACAAAACCTCATTCGCTAATATCTGCTCTCAAAGGCAACCTGCATTTGTGCTCCGAGTACCCCTCCAATAGCCTTATCCACATGAGTACGAGTCATACGCCCGCTTCGGAGGCAAATATCGCTTGTCCTTAGAGCACTTTTCCAAATAGCCTTGTCGACCTTTCCAAGTAAAATATCTATCAACTGTTCGATTGCTCCTCCCACCATACTTCATCCATGCAATCTTCATGACTACATGTCACACCTCCCAAATGGGGTGGGTGACGTGGAGCTCGATTAGGGGTTAATAAAGCAGATTCCTAGACAAGCCCCACTTAACTCCATTAAAATATAAATAAATTACAGAATCCTGAGCCTCTGACAACACACAGGGCTCCACCCACAGGATATATGGCATTGTACATACATGAACATGTAAATAGTCAATTACAATAGACATCAACCACAGTCTAGTCAATCCAAATATTACATGAGTTTACAGAATTCTCGATTCCTTACACTTTTATGTCAGAGGATGAACCTAATCCTCACTTGATCGGTCCGTAGCAAAACTCAACTACTCCGTAGCAAATATCCAGCTACTATGCACCGCTCCTAGAATCTCCTGGGAGGGGTTTAATACATTTTAAACATAAAACGTGAGCGAAAGGCCCAGTAGGAATAATTTAAAATGACTTAAAAATAAATGAATATATAAATGTGCGAGTAAATAAATAAATGGGTAAGTGAATAAATAGACATTCAGTTCCAACAGACAGCCGGAACCTCACATCCATTTTCTCAAAAGAAATAAATGTAAAATCTCCATATTACAGGCTTCTGCAAGTAATTAGTACAAATTACTTACCTAACCAAGTGCCTCGCCTACCCGGACCGAGTTTCAGGTTCTGCCCCCGAGGATGCACTATCTGTATCCTATCTAGACTTACAGCAATAGACTCGCTTACCGGTTCACAAAATTTCTTAGTTTAAGCAATCATTCATTAAGTTTCTGAATTCATTATTATGACCCCACGAACTACTCAAGCCGCGGGCCCCATGACTGGGCAAGCCATGAGGTTCCATGACTGGACAAGCTATGGATTCCATGGATAGGACAAGCCATGGATTCCATAAACTACACAAGCTATGGTTTTCAAAGAGTTTTTCTTTCGCAAACCAACCCTTTTCTTTTAAACATTTACAAGGCCAAAATCCGTTTTGAAAATCAGGCTCACAAGGAAAAGGGTTAAAAATCCTACCTCGCACTATCAAACATGGCACTAGCGTTGCCTTTTTCGGCTTTTGCTTCCTGAAGCCCCTTCAGTCTGAATCCTCAGCGATCATTGATGCAAGACAACACTTTAGGATTAATTCTCATTCCTAAAGCAATCTAATCTTAATTAGATACCAAGGTTTCCAATTATTGTGCCCAAATCCATTTTCATGTTTCAAATTATCATTCCAAGGGTTTTCAATCTCAAAACAAGGATTAAAGATGCTAATCCATTCATCTCAAGTCCCCAAATGAAGCTAATTTGGGTTCTCTCCGAAAACAGGGGGTCAAAACAACAATTTTAGGCCAAACAGGGTCAGACCCTGTGTTAACCGGTCGACCAGTGACAAAATAGTGCAACACTACCGGTCAACCGGTAGTGTGCACTCCGGTCGACCAGACAGGTCGACCGGTCAGGCTAATGCAATCCGGTCGATCGGTTTCCATGTGATCCGGTCGACCAGACAGGTCGACCGGTGGAATCAGCTGCGCGAGAGAAGCTCGCGGAAACCAGTCCAAAACCTGCAATCTCAATCCCAAATCGAAATATTTCAAGGGACAACCACTAGATCTGGGTTTTAGGTCCTAAAACAAGTCCAAAGAACATAAGATCTCAAATTTCTACCTTAGTTTTACTCATAAAACCATCAAAATCTATTTCAAACCAAAAATGAGTTTTAAATCCGAAAACTTAGGATTTCAAGAGAGGTTTTTCAGAAATCTTACCTTGAATCCTTCTCTTGATGTTGAAACTTCTTGAAACTTTCCTTTGGTTTGAAATCCAGTTGATTTGAAGCAAAAACGGGAGAGAGAGAGTGTGTGTGTGTGAGAGAATGAGAGAGTGAGAGAGAGAGGTGCACGGGAAGGAAAAGAAAAAGAAAAAGAAAAGAAAATAGACAGGTACTAACATTTAAAAGAAACAGTCCAAAAATGCGCCCATACACAATTCTGGGTTAAAATAAAAAATTACTGAGAATAATTTAAATACCTTGGAACTATTTAAATTACACGTCAGAAACATTTATTAATCAAAACTCAATTAATTAAATCAGATTAGGCACACTAATAATCTCAATTACTTTAATTAATCTCAATTAATTCTTCAGGGTGTTACACTACATAAGAAGTCTTCCCTTGTGCATAAGTTGGCATCTTAGTAAGGTGGCGACAAAGTGGGCCCTAAAATCTATTTTTTTCGGCTTACTTTGGGCCTAGTCGAACCCCTCTTCTCTGTTGGAGGCCCTGCTGTAAAATCTCCTCTGCGAACACCGTGTGTCCGATCCACGTCAGCATTAACACCTTCAAATTTAGTACTTGTGCGTACATACCCTTGACATGTCGTACTCGCCGAATCTAACGGGCCCCAACAAGAGTATTTTGATAATTTTATGGTTTAAAATCAAAATTGAATTTAAATTAATTTAAATATTCAAAAAATTCATAATTTTTTTATTCTAAAAAAACTTACATTTAATCAATAATGAATGTATCATAATTAAAAGTTCAAATTTAAATTAGTTTTAAATTCAAACTAAACTTTAAACCATAAAACTACAAAAATATTACAAAAAAAAAAAAAATTAAATGTCAATTTCCGTTGAAAAAAACCTAACAGAGGGGTTTTTCTTGTTAACATGTCATTGCTGAGAGAGAACAAAGTTACATTTCAAATATTAGGAGACAAAGTATGACAAGATGTATAATTCAGGAAATTTTTTTTATAACTAAACCTTGTTTTTAACATAAACTCTAATAGAAAGACCACATAATCATACTATACCTTTTTCAAATTTATTTTTAATAAAAATTTTGACAGAAGGAGCTAAATAGAATGGATTTAAAATTTAAAATGAAAAAGTGGTAGTGTTAAAAATTTAGACATCGTTCATTTCACCGATTTGAATTTAGAATTCGAGTTTTGTTACAGTAAAAAACTCTAAAAAACAGTCACATCTAACTTTTTTGCTACAGTAAAAAGCTCTAACGTAAAATCACATCTCAACTCGAATTAAAAAATCGAATCAGCGAATTAAACGGGTATATGACAAAATAAAAATGATAAAAAATTTAAAGGACGCTAAAGATAATAATCCCAAAAATAAAAAGACTAATGAGACGTTTGGTTAATGGATTAGAATCATGATATTAGAACAAATTTTGATTTACGTGTATTTTTTGTGAGAGAAAATACTGTAGCGAATCATGAACCATGATTCGAATCGGGGTACGAATCCCCCAACTAAACAACCCCTAAATGCTAAGTTGCTACGCACTAAAAAGTCAGAGATGCCACACGTGTGGCTGTTACAATAGAAACTCCTCATTTGTACTTGTGTTTGGCTGTTAGAATATCATCACTCCTTATCCAAACTATGCGCTTTCTCGGTCTGAAAATTCCAAATTTGGGTCTGAGAGATCCCTCAACACTCCCTCGTACATGACCAAAATTGTCTTTCTGTATCCCAGGGAAAGGAAAGAAGGTCTCGTTCATTTTACCGGTTTGAGTTTAGAATTTAAATTTTTTACAGTAAAAAGTTCTCTAAAATAGTCGCATCTAACTTTTTACTACAGTAAAAAACTCTCACATAAAGTCACATATAAACTCAAATTAAAAATTCAGCAAATTAAACAAACCCTTGTGTTTGCCGTGTTTAAAATTGTTTTTTTACATTTTTTGAAAAAAAAATAAAAATAATTTTAAATAGTGTTTGACACAATTAAATATAAAAAATGAAAATAAAAATGATTTTTTTGATTTAATATAAAATTAGAGAGAAATGAAAAACGACTATTAGTCATTTTTTATTTTTTATTTTCATTTTCTCTTCTTTCGAGTAGATAGAGAGAAAGAAATTAATAAATTTTTTATACTAAAAATAATCTTTTAATAAAATTAATAAATAAATTTTTAAAAATAATTTCTAAGATTAAAAACATTTTTATTTATATTTTTATAAAAAAATAAAATTATTTTTAAAACGACTTCCACACCCATGATTGTGTTATTTTTTTTCCGTCTTTTTCGTGTTGTTGTTTTTTTTTTTTTTTTTGTTGGCCGTGAGCGTTCCTTTCTTCTGGCGGGAAGCGCAGAACAGAGCAGAGCCCAGAAGAAAGGAAAGGGAAAAGAGAAAAAGTTCTTCCATAAACCCTAGAAAAATCTCCTCTCTCCCATTCTTCTGAGAAATTCTTGTTCCTTTATCGTCCTTCAATATGTACTGGTTGGCTACTCGAAACGCCGTCGTTTTCTCCTTGCATTGGCGTTCTCTCGCTCTTCTCCTTCGCTCTCCTCCTTGTAGATACAGCTCTTTCACTCCCTCTCCACTGCTCCTGTAATCTCTCTCTCTCTCTCCTTATAGTTCTGTTTGTTTTGATGGAAAACATTTCAATAGAGCAGCCAAGGGAAATGTTTTATCCATTTTCCTTTCTTAAGACTAGGAATTTTTATTGAAGTTCGACCCACAATGTGAAAATATTCTCTTTTTCTATAAACAATAATTTTATTTCAACAGAACAACGTATACAGATTTCAAGTTTCGTTTTGTTTATACAGTTGGCGATGGTTTAAGGAAAAAATTTTGTATTTATGTTTGAACATGGGATAACAAAAATAGAATGGTTTACAGTTAAAATAATCATAGTTTTTAGTTTGATATAATCAGGATTATCATTTAACCACCCTTTTTAAGGATAGCTAGATAGTATTTGCAAACGTTAGTTTTGGTTTACATTACACCCGGGTATTGCTTCCTCATTGTTGGGATTTAAGTTTTCTAACCCGAGGTTTTCTTCTTTTCAAGTAAAAAAAGACCATTTGGGAGGATTTTTTGTTTTAAAGATCAGAGGATATTGAAAAGAAGCTTAAGAACTACAAGGAAAGTTAAGCCGTCGAACGATGTCTTGACCGAAAAGGAGCTTTCTAACATATTGTGGTGGAAAGAGGTATGCCAGTTGTTATTTTATTTATTTATTTTAAGTTGCTAGGAAAGCTTTACATCTTTCGTACTGTGAATTTGTTGACGTATAAATGTAAGATCTTCTAATGTGTGTTCTTTTATTGCAGAGGTTGCAAAACTGCAAAAAGCCTTCAACTGTCCAGCTAGTTAAAAGGCTTGAGTATTCAAATTTGTTAGGATTGGACGTCAACTTGAAAAATGGGAGGTGAGCTCTTAATACATATAGCTCCTATTTTATTTTTGTTGTTATGTATTTGGATCGCGGTATTTTGGTTATTGTCACGAAAGTGAAACATTATTTTGTTTAAGACAGTTTCAGAGATACTTTATGTATAGGGTGAAGTATTTGGCTTTGTTACAGGTTTTACTACTACGGAATTTAAGAGGTTTCTTTTTCTTTGATTATTCTGAATTGGTACAATTGGAAGACTTCTTGTGCTCTAGGATTTCTTCTTGATTTAGCTCTTAGTCCCTTTAAAAAGTTCCAATGTTTCTTATGATCCTTCAAAAAAAAAAAAAAAAAAGGAAAGAAAGAAAGAAAAAATAATTGTATGCTGGTGACTGGCCTAGTCTGTTTAGATATATGCATAAAACAATTAATTTCATTGTTTAAGTCTACCTATATGGGTATAGAACTTAGCATCATTCACTTGTTCAGCTGATTAAAGGTTTCACTGTAGTTTCCAAACCTTTATGCATGCACTTTCATATAAGTGCTGCATACAAGTTCCGACTAGCATGATTGGGAAAGATTTTCAAACCAATTTGAACTGCTCACATCACGATAATATTAATGCAATGGCCGTAAGTCAGGGGCGGGAGCCCATAATATAGGTTGTTACTTTAACATCTCTTTGCACTGCAATTTTAATGATATATGTTATAATATGTCTTGCTTTCTTTGGGTTGATTAAAAAGGAAACGTAAAGTGCTCTTGTAGGCATTTGCACCTCACATAGGAGAAAATCGCTTGATCTTTTCTTTTCTTTTCTTTTGTCCACATTTTGAACAATTTCTGCTGCTCTCTATAGTTTGGTTTTCTGATAAATAACTCTTTTTGCCTACCCTTTTCTGAAAGGACTGTAATGTATCTATATAATAGCTATTCTTTTTTAGTTCAGGCCAACTTTACTCTTAGTTAAAATGGTCTTATGCGTGATTGAAAAGCTATGAACTCCCTCGTTCCTTATAAGCTTAACCGAAGCTGTTTTCCTTGTTTGTAAATTATTCACTAAAGAAATGTATTCATCTTAGTCTGAAAGAAGGAACACTCAACTGGGAGATGTTGCAGTTCAAGTCAAAGTTTGCTCGTGAGATTTTGCTCTGCAGAGTATGTACTAAATTATTCTTATGCATATTGTTGGTAGCACTTTTATCTGGTTTAAAAATATTTGCAATTTTTGAGATGTTATCTACTGCAATTGAGTGATGGGGCAAAAAGCATTTTGTTTTTCTCAGGTTGGGGAATTTTATGAAGCCATTGGGATAGATGCTTGCCTTTTAGTTGAATTTGCGGGTTTGAATCCTTTTGGGGGTCTGCGTTCAGATAGTATTCCAAGAGCTGGATGTCCAGTTATGGTAATATACCTATTTTCATATGCATGTTATCTTTGATTTTCTGTAGTTCATATAGTCTTTTGCTTAAAGGTTTATTATATGATGTTAAAGATGGTCATAGTCGTGTATTTATCAAAAAGTGATAAGAACACACAATGGATGTTCACCCGACCAAAAGCCTTGTATGGACTTTGCGTGGAGATTGCATCATGGTTAATGAAGCTACAATTAGATTTTCTTAAGTTTGGGAATGATAGGCATCACGTGATTTGGACCATTTCCGCTGGGGCAAGAAGAACGGATATTTATGGAGCCTTAGTGGTAGACCATGAAGCATAAGAGAACATTTGTTTATGATTTTTCCTTTTTTTTTATTTCGTTTTGGAAGAATTTCATGTTTAACAACCATAAGGATATTACTTGTTAAGTTTTTGGCAGTGAATTCTTTCCTTTTATTTCACTATTTAGTATGCAGTTAATTAGGCCGATGGTTTTTCGCCTTATTCTCTTTGATAGTTATTGCATCATTGCGTTTGATTTGCAGAATCTTCGGCAAACTTTGGATGACCTGACACATAATGGATATTCGGTGGTATGTTAGCATTTATTCCGTAGTTGAGATCATATTTTCCTGCTATGCAAGTTTCGGCATACTTAATATTGGAACCCCCTTCCTTTTATGTGGTACATTCATTTGCTTCTCCGAGACTATATTCTGTTCTGCTCTTACTTGATGCATGGACTTATACAGAGCTTAAGGAGACGTTTGGTTCATGGATTAGAATCATTAGATTAGAATTATTTTCGATTTACGTGTATTTTTTGTGAGAGAAAATACTGTAGCGAACCATGAACCATGATTCAAATCATGGTATGAATCCCCTTACCAAACATCTCCTAAATAACTCTTGTAGTCCTTAGGTTTTAGGCCTTCTGATTGATTTGCAATTTTGAGTTCTTACAATTCAATCTGGTTCTTCTTCTTCTTTCTTCTTTTTTTGTGTTTGTGTGTGTGTGTTGGCTAAATGTTGATAAAAGTGGCCTAATGTACTCATTCATTCCCAACGTAGTTTCTTCATATTATTACAATTCAACAGGCTCCTGTTTAAAATCTCCCTTGTTCTTTCTTTCCTTTGTTTCTTTCTTTCAGAAAGATAGGATGTAGATTAAATTGGTGTTGAGCCCCTCGTTTGGTGGTTCAACACCCTAAATTTGATCAAATTTAGGGGCAACTCTCTGTAATGTTCTTGAGGATCGGAGGATTCCAATTCCAGATCCAAATGGTATATTTTCTATTAAGTCTTATTTCTCTTTCCTGACATCAGAATCTTCAGCTCCACCCTTTGTTTTATTTGATAAAATATGGAAAACCCGTGTTCCCTCTAAGATTCAAGTTTTTGGTTGGCTCCTGCTTCTTAACAAATTGAACACTCACGATTTGATGCAGCGTAGGAGTCCTTATCTTTCATTATCTCCCGGGTGGTGCGTTCTTTGCAAGAAAGAGGGAGAATCTGCTAATCACTTGTTTATACACTGTTCATTTTCTCATCAAGTCTGGTCTGCACTGTTAAAGGAATTTGGGCTCTCTTGGGTTACTCCAAGGAATTGTTTCGAGTTGCTTGATTTTTCTCTTCCGAATAGTTTGTCTTAGAGGTCGAATTTTGTGGAAGGTTGCTCTCCTAGCTACTCTTTGGAGTAGTTGGTTTGAAAGGAATAGCAGAATTTTTGAGGAGAGATCGGAAGATAGTTGGGTGTTATGGGATAATGTAAAATACCGGGTCTCAATTTGGGCTTACAGAGATAGAGTTCGGTAGGCTAATTTTTTCAGAGTTAGTTAGCGGTATCTGTAAATTCCCTGTTTTGATTATTCCATCTATCAGGGTTTGGTCATTCTAGCTAGCGAAATCTCTTCCCTTGCCTTTGGCTTTCTCTTGTACAAATTTTTATCAATAAAGTTTGTGTTTCTTTTCAAAAAAAAAAAAAAAAAACCTCTCGTTTGGTGGTGATGATCTTATCTCGAAATCGCTTATTTATTTTTTTGTTCCATTAGAGCAACAGAAGGCCCTCCTCATTCACTTGGAAGCTTGAATATCTTTTTGATGTTACCACAATGCTGTACTTTATTAGCATGTTTTGTTGGATACAAGTACTAATATTATTATCTTGATTCTTTATCCTTTGATTTAATGTTTTTATATGTCCATGTGGGCATAACTTGACTGCTTATGTTTTGTTCCTTGTAGTGCATAGTCGAAGAAGCTCAGGGTCCGACAAATGCTCGCTCTCGCAAAAGTCGTTTTATATCTGGGTAATTGAATGGATAATACTCTATAATTGATCTATTGTTTAGACTTATTGTTATTGCTCTAGAAGTGATTGATTATAAGACTTTCTTTGGTTTTTCGGAGTAAAGAGATAAAACATGATTATTGAATCCAGAAGCAACTTAGGTTGTGAGTTTTGCGTAATTACTCCTTTGTACGCTTGAATGTTAAAAGCCAGTCACATTTCTTAAATTAACTGCAATTTATTTATGTATTTATTTGGAAAAGATCATCAACTGTAGATTTCCATACATATGTTGTCTTCGAATGTGGAAACCTTCTCACATGTTGGTTTTCTTCCAAGAATTTTCCATGGAACGAAGCATCATTTGCTTCTTGCAAAATTCAAATACTTGAATAACTGTGGGGTTTATACGTTTGCTTACAATGTTCCGTGATTAATACATTATGTAAGACTAAGGTTCCATTATATATATGCATATATACATATCTATATATGCTGGCCAGGGTTTTGCTCAATTTTGACATGCATGTCTTGCATCTGACTTGTTTCCTTAAGCTTTCAGGCATGCACACCCTGGTAGTCCTTATGTCTTTGGACTTGTTGGTCTTGATCATGATCTTGACTTTCCTGAACCAATGCCTGTTGTCGGTATGACTCAAACACATCTTTAAATAAAAGAGTTTATTGTGGTTCATGTTTAAATTATATTGTTTCACAATGATATTTATGACTTTATTTCCTTTGATTATTTGAATATAGGTTGCTTCTGTTTTTCTTTGTCCTGTAGTGCAATGACATCATTTTCACATTAACTAAAATAGTTTCTAGCGGATGAAGTAATAAACTGCATGTGGCACTCCTAGGGATATCTCGTTCTGCAAGAGGTTATTGCATAAATTTAGTCTTAGAGACTATGAAAACGTATTCATCTGAAGATGGTTTGACTGAAGAGGCCTTAGTCACAAAGCTTCGTACTTGTCGGCACCATCATCTGTTTTTGCATTCTTCGTTGAGGCACAATTCATCAGGTTTGTACAAACTTCTTATTTTGTAGTATGATAAGATGAAATGAACAATGTTCATAACTGTTGGAATAGAAGATATTGGCCTTTTGCCCATTCTTAATTGTTTCTGTTACATATCCACTTAATTAAAAGTGTGTCTAAGATATTCTATTCATCATTCTATAATACTCTTTATTACTGTTTACTTATTTTTGGTTGTCTTTTTTCTTGTAGTCTTTCCCATTCTCAACATTTAGAACCTCCTTTACAGGCACTTGTCGTTGGGGAGAATTTGGGGAGGGAGGCTTACTGTGGGGGGAATGTACTGCCAGACATTTTGAATGGTTTGAAGGCAATCCTGTGACCGATCTTTTGGCTAAGGTTCGTACTTGTTGAGGATATATTCTTATCATGTTTTTTGATTATCAATTTATGTTTTTTTGAATAAAGTAAATGTACAGTTATGCCATGACTCTTTAGGTTAAGGAGCTTTATGGTCTTGATGGAGAAGTTACATTTAGGAATGTTACCGTTACTTCAGAAAATAGGCCCCGGCCTTTAACCCTCGGAACAGCGACCCAAATTGGTTAGTCTTGTTTAATTGGTCATTTTTTCATGACTTATATCATATTTATAATGCACAACTCTGCTGGTTTCTGTACTTCTCAGGTGCCATACCAACCGAAGGAATACCTTGTTTGTTGAAGGTGTTGCTTCCTCCAAATTGTGCAGGTCTACCTGTGACGTGAGTAAAACATATGCGTTTCTCAACTCATTTCATAGTTAAAACTAATTTAGGAATTAGATTGGGGCAAATTTCTAGAAGCTTTCACTGCTAGAGCTAAAAACAAAACTGCTAGCCAATAAACTACTTGTCACTACTAGTTTTACGGTCATCAAATGATCAGATAGCAATCAGCTAAGAGAGTCTACGTACAAAATTGGTTAGTAATAGAAGAGTCGAAATTCAAAACGGTATTTCCTTTGATTTAAACTTTCTTGCTAGCATTAGTTCTTGAATCCGAAGGAAAATGATAAGAAAGTCTCCAAATCTCTCTAGATTTCTTTTAGTTTTATAAACTATAATTGTAAAGCAGTGATATGTTTTTCCTCTTTAAGTCAACATATCTTTACAGTTCACCTGCAGTTAATATCCCACAATAGTTTTTTGATAAGTGCTTGTTAGGAACCCGAAAATCTGAGCTTCATTAACAACACTAAAAATGGAAAATTACAAGATAGATGGGCGGTTTCGAGGACCCCCGACCTCCAAAATAGTGCACAGCACTAGACACTCTCTACAAATCTCCTCTTCCCCCTCATTAGGCACTAGACCCTTATTTATACTATTAAAAGACTACTAAAAAACAACTGCTAACTATCAGGTTCCTAACATTACCCCCGCCCCAAAGAATCACCTTGTCCTCAAGGTGAAAATCAAGAAATACAATTGAAAAATAACATCAAAATGATTAAGAACAAAAGGCTTTGTTAGTTCCTTGATTTGAGTCCCCAAATTGATGTTGTTCTTGTAAGTCACGTCTTCAAATTAGACCCAATCAATTACTTTCTTCTCCATTTTCTTTGTATCTTGGAAAGCAACCATAAAGTCCACCAGTTCAGTTGGAGCCCCCTGATCAATGACCATAAAAGCTTTTGACAAATCCATCATTAACAAAGAAGTTTCTTTCTTAGCTAACCAGGTCTTCATCCTTTCAGCCTCTGTCACCAATTTCTTCATACCCAACCACAGACTTACTATACCCTGTCCTAAATGTGTTGGAATTTTGAGGCCCAACCACCATTGCACCAGAATTAGGCCAATTAACGTTGTAATTACGAGGTCCAACCCCAAAATTGACTCTGCCCATACCGAAAACACTAGACCCAGCCCACTTCCGAATAGAATTTCGGGATTCAACCCCAAAGTCGCCGGATTTCGCGTCAGAATTCCATGTCCTGGCCATCATCTCACCGGAGCTAGCCCCAATGGCGTCAAAATCACAAAACCCAGCCTTAAGGGCGTTAGAATTCATGGGTCCCACTCCAATTCCGCCAGAATCTGCCTCCGTACCATCGGAACCAGCCCCTTTCATGCCGGAATTGCGAGGCCTGGTCCAAACCGGGCCGGGATCAGCCCCAACCTTGCCGGAAACAACCTCAACAGCGTCAGAATCATGAGACCCGCTCCAAATTTGGCCGGAATTTTTGAAAACAACACCAATCTCACCGGGATCAGCCTTAATGGAGTCGGAATTGTGGGACTCCACTACAATCCCGCCGGAATCTGCCTCCGTAGCACCGGAATCAACCCCTTTCCCGCTGGAATCGTGAGGCCTGGTCCAAACCACAACCAAATCGCCGAGCCCAGCCTCCACCGCGCCGGAACTCGCACCAAAACTCCCAGAATCTTACTGGATCTTGAAATATCAGTGCCAATCGCGTCGGCGTTCTCAGATTTCGTCGCAAATCCACCGCCGTTCGCCTCAAATCTGGTCGATTTGGCACCAGATCGCGAAGAACCGCTCAAGTCTTCATCGGCCTTGCGCGATCCTGGATCTCGTCACACTCTCTCTGGCGTTTGTCGCTGTCTTGGAATTTCCAAATCTGGTCGCCACTCAGCCCAACTAGATCCCAGCGCCTTCGTCGTCTGTTTGCCCTCCACAAGTTCTTCCTAGCAGCACATCAACTGATCCAAACGATCCAACTTGCCATGGATTGCCGCGACAGTCTTCGCAAGTACGGAGATCTTCTGTACGGGACGGAATCGTTGTAGCAAGTGAGTCTTGAACTCCGACCAACTCCGAAACGTCCATCATCGATCTTCCAATTGAAACCACGTCAGAGCTTTAGCCTCTAAGTGGACAGCCACAGCCTCTAATTTCTCCCGATCTGTCATACGAAACTCTGAAAAGCTTCGTTCCACACGAATAATCCAACCGTCAGCGCCATCACCGTAGAAAACCGGCAAGTCAATCCGCCAATTTAGGTCCTCTCCACCATCCGGAATGAGATTTGGTCTCCCCCAGCCTTGTCGATGCAGCATGTAGGCCAAGAATCGATGCTCTGATACCATTGTTAGGAACCCGAAAATCTGAGCTTTATTAACAACACTAAAAATGAAAAATTACAAGATAGATGGGCGGTTTTGAGGACTCCCGACCTCCAAAATAGTGCACATCACTAGACACTCTCTACAAATCTCCTCTTCCCCCTCATTAGCCACTAGACCCTTATTTATACTATTAAAAGACTACTAAAAAACAACTGCTAACTATTAGGTTCCTAACAGTGCTCCTCCATAGCTGTCTAGCTGTCCTTTTGTTTTTACCCCCTGATTAACGCCCAAAGTGATGTTCACAAGCGATCAATTATAGCACAGAAGGGCGGTCGTATCCACAGAGAGGTAACAAAATAAACAAGAAAGATTAGCAGAATAAGAACGTTAGAGAAAAATAAATAACAAGTAAATTAAAGAAAAAGAAGAGTTTTAGAGATTTTTATTGCAAATGAAATAAAAAGGAGAAAATTTGTATGAAAGAAATTCAGTAGTAAAAACGGTAAGGTGTTGAGAATCGCTAATGTTTCGTTCACCAATTCAAGTTTTGATTCACAAAATAAAAGAATCAAATAAATTAAATATCTATGTTGACTCTGAAAATATTATTATTACAAGTTATCGAAAATCGACAATATATCAATTTGACAATATTGCAGTAAAAGACAATTTGTAAAATAATTTAAATAACAAAATAGTGCATGACAGAATAACATAAGAAAAGCGTGACTGAACTTATATAAAAATTAGCACACTATTTTAAAAAATAAATGAAAGATAGATGAGATTTAATTCATTCAGATATTGAACATTACAGCACAAAGAATCAAAAGCTCGAATTGGGTTGCTAAGAAAAGTTCATCTCTAACCTCACCAAGAGGATTCTAGCCTAGCTTGCAAAACATTCTCATAAGTTCTAGAGAGAGAATATGAGACTGACAGCAAGACAATAGAAAATTGAATATTAAAAATTTACAAAAATCTTAGGTTAACCCTCTTATTTATAGAGTTCAGAGGCTGCCTGTCAAATAAAGAAACAAATAATAAAAATAAAAAATTACAAAAGAAAAGGAAACAAAATAAAATTACACATAAATTAGGAGAAATCATGATTTGGGAAAGAAATCAGAGGCAATTTGCGGAGAAAAAATTCAGATTCAGCACCTTTGAGGACACGTGTCAAAGCTTGGTTGGGGGAAGTGGATTCAATTTCCACGTGTCGCGCGCGGAGAGGAAGAAGGGCGCTAGCGGTTGGAGACAGTTGGGGTCCATTGAGACAACTGTCATGCACGGAGAATGGGAAATCAGACTGGCACGCTGCATGCGGGACCCACATAGAATAGACTTGGACACACTGGAGACTGCGCGGAGTAAGCACGCGTGCCTAGGGAGTTTTGCGTGCTGTTGACGCGCGCGAAGTGGAGTGGGGAATGCGGGAGAGCTGGGGCCCACGCGGAAATCAGTTTGTGGCTTTGACTCGGCTCACACGGCTCTCTCTCTATATGGCTCGGCTTGGTGATTGAAATTAGCTAAAAATATGACTTTCGTGGCTTCTTTTTGTATAGCTTTTACACTGCTTTTTATCTGTAAATGATAAAGCAAAAACTAGACAAATTCTAATTAAAAATATTATGAATAATAATAATAGAATCGTTTAATTAAGGTTTAAATATTTTAATATTTTATAAATCAAAAGCAGTGTTTAGAGTGCATTTTCATGCACTAATCGCAAACCCTAACCAGCGTATTGCTAGTCCCTAGCAATCTAAGCGCAAGAGAAATCATGTCATAAAGAAAATTTGTGTCTCAACTAGCTTAATCACTTGAGTACTTCGAGCAAAGTGTCAGTAAGAAGTCAAAAATATACTATCAAGATTATTTCAGTCATAACTCCAGAGTCGTGTGTGTGTTCCAAATCATAACCTTCTTACTACTGACCATAACACATGCAGTTTTGAAAAATTCACCAAGCAGAAGTCTCAACTCCATTGATCTCACAGGTGTCAGAAATATTTGAGTTGAAAGGTTTTCTCTCATGGAAATGGAACAATCAACACTCAGTGTGAGGAAAGTAAAATTTAGGACAAACAGTCAAACGAACATTGACCAAAAGATAGGTTAATCAACTACTAGAACATTCCATCATTCTTTCTACAAATCAGCTTTTGGGATTTCATTCAGGTCAAACAGAAATTTACAGAATCGAACAAATAGCCAAAAAAAAAATGCATAGGAAAATAAATTACTCTTTTTGTTTCTTTTTTTTTTTTTTTTGACAAGAGAGAACCTTCAATAATAAAGTGAATGTAGAAAGGTGTTCTTTTGACAATCAACTATATAACATCAAATGTGATTACAGCTAAACTACAGAATCTGTGAAATGTTGCTCTTGCTCAGTTTTTTTTTTTGTTTTTTGTTTTTTTTTTAATGAAAGATAACAAATGAGACTCTATTACATAAGATCATTTCTATCTAACTCAAAATTCATCCCTCAAGCATATGCACCAAGCATACCACTAACCATGTAATGATATTCTAACAGTGATTTTATCAGTTTAAAAGATCAATGAAGGTTCAAAAGTCATTTTCTCTACTCTCTTAACTCACCAAAAATCAAGCACTTAAACTCGAGAATTTTCTCAGTTGACATGCATTAACATCCGTCTTACCACAAGGTTTAGCACGTG